GTGGTATTAGCGCCGGCCGGGATCGTGGCTCCGTGCCGCCGGCATCCCGCTCCGTGCCCGCCGGCCGGGGGCAGCCCGGGTCCTGCAGACATCGCCCCCACCCAGTGCCTGGCCCTTGCCTCCCTCCCTGGCTCCGCATCCCGGGGGGGGAAATCCAGGCCAGGTTTTGCCAGGGCCCGGCCCCGGGGCCAGCAGGGCCTAGAGGGAGGAAAACCTGGAGCTGGATTTCTCTGCCCACCTGGACTGGCTCTGCGAGGAGGCCAGAGGAAGGAGAAAAACTGGAAGTGGATCTAGCGCCCGCTTGGACCGGCTCTGGGGAGGAAGGAGGAGAACCCGGAACTGGACTCCTGTGCCCACCTGGATCGGCTCTGGGTAGTGCTCCCCGGCAGTAAGGAGAGCCTGGAGCTGGATTCCTGCGCCCATCTGGATTGGCTATGGGTAGAGTTCCTCCAAGCGGCTGAACACAAAGCCCGGAGCTGGATCTCCTGTGTCCCCTGGAGTGGTTCCGGGGCACGACAGCGGTGCAGAGGTGGCCTGGGCGCCCGGCGGGTGCTGTCGGCGGAGGTGGCCCGGGACGGGGATGGGCGACAGCGGCTCCGGCCGCGTGGGCCGCCTGCCCCGGTGGCGCTCGCGGCTCCGGCGGTGGCAGTGGGGCGCGTGCCCCCRCGCCCGCTCCTCGGTGGGCACCACTACACCGGCTGCCTCTGCGGGAAGAAGGGACACGGTGTCAGCACCCCTGGGGACACGACGTCAGCTCGGCATCCCTGGGGACAAGGGGGCAGCGGGGGGGATGGAGACCCCTCCCCGCGACCTGCCCGTCCCCCTGGGGCRCTGCAGGGCGCCGGGGACGCGCCAGCCTTACCTTATGTTTGGGACATTTCAGCGAGAAGCTCTCCTCGGTTAATAARCAACCTGCGAGCAGAGCAGAGGGGTCAGCCCGGCGCCCGCGGCACGGCACGCCCGGCACAGCATCGTCCCCGTCCTCCCGGTCCCCATCCGCCCTGGGCACRTGCGAGCTGAGGCCGGGCAAGCTCGGCTCGTGCACGGCGCTGGCGGGCTCACCTGTGTCCACGGCGCAGGCGTAGTGGTAGGAGTGGGGACAGCCCTTGTGGCAGCAGCCCACGGTGGCTCCCGCTTGCTGGCAGCTCGAGCACTTCTGCCGAGGCGCCCGGGGCCGGAGCAGGAGCAGAGGGATGGAGAGAGACACGAGAGCCCGTGAGAGCCGTCCTGGGGCACCGAGCAGCCCCTCTCCCAGCACAGCCAGAGGTTTCCCGGCCCTGACACCASGAGGTGACAGGGACATGGCCTGGGCTGTCTCCTTGTCCCCATTGCTCCATCGTGTCCGGATCAGGAGCATGGCAGGGCCATGTCCCCCTGCCCATCACCGCGGCATCCAGCCGTACAGYGCCCTGTCCCTTCTCCCGCTCTGCCATCCTGCTCGGAGTTGCTCCAAGCAACACATGGCTGGGACAAACGGTGCCACCCGCAGGTCCTGGTGCCACCGCGGTGCCCACGACCCAGGGACAGCAGCAAAGGGTCCCTGCCACCATCCCCAGCTTAGAGGCACAACCGCGCCCTGCTCCAGGAGGGGACGTTTGGGAGGATGCTCTGGAGACRCAAGAGCACAAACCCGAGGGGAAGCTCTGCAAAACCCCGCCCTGGCCTCCCAGGACATCTTGCAAGGCCAGGATCCTTGCAGGCCAGCAAATCCCATTGTGTTTCATCCCATCCACCCAGCAAACAAAACCTCCACAGAGGAATTGGCTGCTCTCCGGTGGGAACACCCCATTACCCTTTGGCTTGCGGGCAGCAGGGCTGGCAATGGAGCCGCTGCAGATACGGATGGTAGATGCAATGAGAGCACCCATCCTCCCTCAGTGCCGCTCGGGGCCACGCTGGCCTCAGCACCCAGGTGCCTGCCCCACTTCCCATTCCCTTGTAAGCGCCTGAGGGCTCCCTGGAGCGCAACCGGGAGCAGCCGTCCCATCCCATCCCGTCCCCGCGGTGCAAGCGTGCGCCCCAGCCGCCCGCCCGGCCGCCGCCGCTCGCCCTGCCCTCTTACCACGTCGGCAGCCGCCTTGACGGCCTCCTGCAGCCCGTAGAGCTTGCCCGCCACCAGGAACACCCCAGCGGTCCATACGGCACAGGCCTCGTGCAGCCAGTGCTCCTGCGTGTCGCCGGCCGGCGCCTCCTGCGCCGGCGACTCGCCCTTGCTACATTCGTGCCGCCGGGGCTTCTCGGCCGCCTCCTCGCCCTCTGTCCTCTCGTCACAGCAGTAGCAGCTCTGCAGCCGCCTGAACATGCCCCGCGGGCTGGAGCGCAGGGCGCTCTGCTTGGCCGCCTCGGCGGCGCCGCCGTCCGCGCGCGGCGCTTTGCCACCGGGCACCGCGCAAGGGGCGCCGTCGGGCGCCGCTTTGAGCGCCGGCACGGCCTCCTCGCCGGGCGCCTTCTCCTTGGGCCGTGCCTTCTTCTTGGGCAGGCAGCCCTCGGGGTAGTACGGCCCGCAGAGGTCCCCCAGGTCCTTGTAGTTGGCGGGGTGGCGGCACAGGCAGCAGGCCAGGCACGCGGCGCTCAGCGCCTTGGACACCACGGGCCCCAGGCGCATGCTGGACGAGGCCGGCAGCGCCGCGCGGTGCCGCGACGGTGACGGCGGTGCTGGCGGCGGGCAGGCGGGCCCGGGCGGCGCGCGCTGCAGCTTGGCCTCGTCAGCGGGCGAGTTGACCACGGTGCAGGCGGTGGTGAAGGCGTCGCGCCGCTCCACGCGCACGTAGGGCGCGAAGGGCGGCGCGCGGCTGTCGGCGCGCAGCCGCTTGCACGACACGTACTTGAGGCGGATCTCGGGCTCGGCCGGCGGCAACGGTGGCGCTTGCTGGCCCGGCCGCCGCCGCTTGCCCCGGCTCTTGCACCGCGCCGCCACCGCCTTGCCCTTGCCGTGCGCCAGGCGCTTCCTCTGCCGCTTGGAGTAGCCGTTGTAGTTGGCGTGGTTGGCGCGCACCTTGGTGCCCCGCGACGCCCCCGCGCCCGGCCGCCCCTCGGGGCTTTGGCCGCCCGCCGCCTCCTTGTCCTCGCTCTTTGGTTTCTTGCTGTCCCGCGGCGCCTCGTCCCCGCCGGGGCTGCCAGACACCCGCGGCGGCGGCGGCGGCGGCACGGGCGGCCGCGGCAGCAACGCGGGGCCCAGCGGCGCCCGCTTGTCCGGCGCCGCCTTGGCCGCGCCGAGCGCCGCCGCTTTGCTCTTGCGGTTCCTCTTCTTGGGCAGG